ACGCTACTAGGAGCAAAGGGCATCGCTACTAGGAGCAAAGACGCTACTAGGAGCAAAGGGCATCGCTACTAGGAGCAAGAAGCTACTGGGAGCAAAGGGCATCGGTACTAGGAGCAAAGGGCATCGCTACTAGGAGCAAGAACGCTACTACTAGTTCTCTCAATGCGTTTGCCACTGTTTAAAATAGCCTTTCTGCTTCTTATCCGGTCATGAGTTGTTCAGAAGGAGGAACAGTAAACAAAGAGGAGAGCTATGAATAGCAAACACTGAGAAAGATGCATAAAACCTTTATAAGACGGAAGATGTTCTTAAGAGGAAAAGGGCTAAACAAAGGTGCTAATCTGTCGTCTCACATCTGGTCTGAAGCTGCTTGGCACAACTTTGAACACTGTTTGAACTTGACAAATGTTGAGATTGGTGCAAGTGAGGTCCAGACACAAAGCCAAAGCCGCAGGCTTGGAAACCGCCCATGTCGTTGGGGTATTTTTCCTGCGCAGCAACGGCAGCAACGGGTGTGATCAGGTGTCGTTGGGTTCGACCATAGTGGCTGTGAACGAAGTGTGGCGGCCACAGTTGCTTGTGCACTCGTTGTGAGACGGAGCAAGAGAGCAAGAAACAAGAAGCAAGTAGCTACTAGTAGTTTCTTGTTACAGGTGAAACGATTCCCAGTGAAATGAAGCTTCTAGCTACTAGTATAGTTTCTTGTTCCTAGTAGCGATGGCCTCCAACCTACTTGCGATGGCCTCCACCTAGTAGCGTCCTTGCTACCAGTGCGATTTGTTTGTCCGTAGCTGTATGTTGATGTTTGAACAAGGTATGCTGATGTTGGCTTGATGCAACAACAGCTGCTGTCAAAGAGTCAGGCCAAGTGAGCGCAGTTTGTTCCGGACGAGAGGGCAGTCGAAGAAGCCGCTTTGGAGACGATGAATCGAAGATCACAAAAAATCCTACTAGTGTCCTTGTTACTAGTAGTAAGGCCAGGAGCCCCTAGCAGCGAGCGTCCTTGTTCCTAGTAGCGATGCCAGGAGCCCCTATAGTA